TCTCTCTCTCTCTCTCTCTCTCTCTCTCTCTCTCTCTCTCTCTCTCTGTTTAAATGCAAAAGTTGCGAGCACTTTATTTTGGCGTAAGTCTGCCTATCACAATCTCGCTTTACTTAACCATATCCCTGCACAGACATACCAACGTATTACGCAATTTTGACTATATTTAAAACTTGTACTAAACATCAATGAAATATTTAATATGAACGATTTTATTTACTCAAGCACATCTCTTGTCCTCATGAAATTGTCTATATATACCGAAAATAAATGAAAGTTTTGATCTACTACGCTACTTACTGCGGGTAATACCCTATATTCAAATTGAATTGGACCCACCCATAATCACTTCATAATTTTTCTCATTTAAAAGTTGGCGCATCTAGGTGATGGGTATTAAAAAACTCGCTCTAAAGCGAATTTAATTATCGCATATGCTTTAATCTAAGAATTTTAAAGTAAAAAAATCGGGTTTTTATTGTGTACAAGACATGCTATTAACTATTGTAAAAAATTTAAGGAAAATAAAAAATGTCTGAACGGAATATAAATAGAAAAACAAAAAAAAAAATATATATATATATATATTAAAATAAATTGTTTTTAACATGCTTTACAAAAATTAATTACATGCAAAAAAAGAAAAAAAAAAAAAAGGCAAGAATTGAAAAAAAAATTTAAACAAAAAAAAAAAAAAAAAAACAGAAAAAATAAAACTAAATCTATATGTTTTTTTTTTTTTTTTCTCAACTTATGTAAATATAGGACATTTATGTTCCTTTTGTTTGCTTGCTTTTGTTAATCATTGCTCAACATCTAATTTAACGTATTTTTTTTATTTTATTTTTTTTTTCTCTCTAATTATGGAATTTATTTTTGTGTAGTATGAAAAAATTTTCCGTCTATTCTATGGAAAAAATATTACGAATAATTTTACAATAACCAAATAGACCATAGCATCTAGCACAGCAAATTACTTTTAAAACTAAAATTAAAATTAAGGTTTTTTTTTTTTTTTTTTTTTTTTTTAACTGTAATTATAAATGAGTTTGTGCTGCAAAGAATGTGAATTAAATTGAAATAGTGCTAATTTTATTACAGTATATAACAGTATATTACAGTATATATTGTGCTGCATTCTCATTCTCATTAACCAAAAAGGGGACTTTATGTGACAAGTGTATATAAACGCATGAATAGTCTCTTTGCAGTAGTTTTCCCTTAAGCGTCGTAATTGTGTGCCGAAAAATAAGTAAAGTTTTTCAAAGTCATCGCGATTCATAAGACACAACAAGTAAAAGGTCTAATAAAGAGGATCACAACTGAATACCCCAATCCTCCCTACAGGTATACTATATATGCAAGAACTGTGGCATTATATGGGGAACGGTTGGAAAATTGGCCAACAATGTACCAAATTTCATCAAAATATGACGGCTAAATGGACAGACGAAACAAAGAGCGTGTTTCTGAACTGTTTGGTAAAATAAAAGGCGGATCTGTCTCACGTGCTTCTGCATATTGCATATACCGACACCAACTTAATATGCCCTTGTATCAAAACGAATAAGCATAATTCATACATATTTCACATTTGTCATGCAGCGCCCGTCCTAATTCAATTTCATATATATGAACTTGAGGATTTTATCTCTCTCCAAAACCTGAAATTATTTTTCTGTGAATACTATTTTGCATCTACGAATAGGCTTCGAAAATCAACCTTTGCATTGGACAATGTATTATTTTGGATACAGATTGTTGCGAGAGAGTTTTAATTATTTAATTACTGTGACTCTAAATCGTCGTTTATATTATCTGTCCATAGGGATTAAATGGTCGTTTAGCCCTCGTTTAGAATATCAATGTTTCATAGAATAAATGCATCCTTGATCAGCAATAAATTGTGAACCAATTTAAGCATATCCGTCCGTCCGTCCGTCCGTCCGTCCGTCCGTCTGTATAATGTCCGTCGTAAACATCCGTCTAACTGAAGCTATCGACTCCAAATTTGGTAGACACTTTGGAAGTTCTTGCACGCAGTTTGGCATTGAAAATGGGCTAGATTGATCGCAGGACTTATCTACAGCCCTACGTAAAGTGAGGGCACCTCCGTTTTCCAAAATGAATGAAAAATTGGTTTTTTGTGCATTACTCATCAACTATAGCCAATAAATCCACCAAAATTTAAACATATGTTCTACAGCATATGCCTTGCGACCAGTGTACAAATATGGAAAAATCAATCAGAACTACCCAATAATAAAGTGCATTAAAATATAATTTTTTTTTCAATAACTTTATAAAACGTCGAAGCAGACTTCAAAACTTCCAGAAAGTGTATAAAATCCAAAACAGTTTCAAATTCGAAATGTACCTCTGTTCGTCTGTTCATTTCTCTATCTGCCTCGTGTTCCTGTTTGGCTCTTTAACCTGTATTTCCTATGCACGAAATATGCCGGGGACACTAACAACATCATAAAGACAACACGAAAATTTCTCAATCAATCATAACCGGTTTTTATCGGTTTTGTTTATGATTTACGCTCAAATCGAGTAATATAAGAATTTTAAGAAGGGACATGTTGTATATCTCTTGTTCTCTATTATCGTTTATACGTTATATTTTTCATTCAAAGTAAATGAATGACTGCCTGCTCATTGTTAACAAGTACGAAATCAGCGGCTGGAAATTGCTTCCTTTAAGGGAGGTTTGTCTAGAGGAATTTCAATATTTGCGGTCGCGCAATAACGTCGCACTATTAAAGGTACATTGGATAACTCAGATCGTTGGCGTTACATAATATTAAGGGCGGATATGTTTTCAAAGATATCTTATCTATGGAAAATTTTATACAAAACATAGGCCACACTAACCCGAGGCACTAACCCGAAGCACTAACAAAGTGAGTTTTTTCGTTACGCTTTAAATAAAAAACGAAACATCTGGAGCAAAAGCAAAAGGAACCCTTATAATGTGGATCAGAGGAACTATATTATCGGTTTTCTACTTATCGATTGTTTGGTGCCAAATTGAAGCAATTCCTGGGTATAGAGATCATCTCGAGCGACTCGAATAAAACTTGAAGCGAACGAAACTCCGAAATGAAAACACACTATACCTTCGCTCACAGAGTAAACTAAACGTATTAATATATTTCGTTTAATTTTATCTAAATTTCATCTGCAATGATTTTTATATCGAAAAAAATATGTATTTTGAAAGCATTAATCCCTACGGACGATGTAAGAGTAGTTACTCACTAAAAAAAATAAAAAAAAGGAGAACACTTTGTACTCTTTGGACCTCGGAAATTATTGCATTAGAAAGCATTTTCTTAGCAAAAATATATCGCCCCCTGTTCATTAGACCAGTTATCTTCCCTCACTAGCATATGATAAAAAAATTAAAATTCATGAGGTATATAGCAAAATGTGATCGATTCATTTACAGCAGAGCGATTTCCTGGTTTCACAATTCCCGAAATAAGGCCTCCTTTACCTAATTCATCGAAGGATTCATTGAAGGAGTAATCAAGTTCAATGTAGCGCTGTACTGTATATGTTATAACATATCATAATGTTCTTCTACCAATTTCAAATAGAAAGAGCATGAAAAAATTGAAGATCGTCTTTCGTCCATGTATTGGAATTGTCTATATATTGTACATTGCACAATAAAACTCTATGAGTTCCCACCTAAAACAAACAGCTTTGTCCACCTATCCTGATATTCTTCATATACAGTTACGTCCATTATTTTTAATAATTTTTTTAACACCCTAAAGTCATAAATATTAGGCTAATAACCGTTTGGGTTAAGAAACAGTTCTGATTTGTCGAGAAAATACCGAAATTTTGTAGGCAAAAGCTAATAAATACTATACGTCCAACTTAAGGCTTTAAAAAGTGTTGTCGCAAAATTGTGGCCAGTTGCACTCACCAAAACCAATTTCGATTTTTATTCAACCTTTGTTCCAAGGGGAATATTACTTTCTTAATTGTTTAGTTGGAAGCCATGCAAGAAAAAAAAAACTAAATGTTTTCTATACAATAACGCTGCGCAACCTAGAAGTGTGTATTAGTTTTAAGATACTTGAAACATTGGACCGTCGCCAAAAAAAAAACATCAAATTGAATAATAGGATATATTGCGCTTTGTCGAGTTTAAAAATCTGCTTTTTTGCCTTTTACAACACCATACCTGTCAACTCAATCATTTCTGAAAAGTGGTTCAAGTGAGAATATCATTGATTGACTTTGATCATCGATACAAGATATGACTACGGATCACGATGTGGAAAGATATTAAGAAGGACAACAGGAGGAATGGGAAGGAAGTAGACGAAAAATCTTGAAAGACCATTGAATGAGTAGTAAGCAGCTGTGTCCAAGTCCTAAAAAGGGTTGTGAAATAAAAAGCGAAGACGAGAGACATTGAAAGACGAATTATCGCATTTAAGCAGCTGTTCTACAGCCGTAAAATGAAAAATAAATTGTATTGCATTGTAACGTAGTGACGATTACTTTTCCGATTATCACTTGTTTCAGGCGATTGCACCTGGTCGGTTGGAGGGGTATTTTGACGCGTAATAGTTTGTAATGGGTTGTTCTTTGATTTGGAGAAAAATTGTGATCACCAGTATGCATATGATATCGAGTGACCAATATTTCATTTCATTTTTTTAAATCTCTCTTAAAATTAATGCACACTTCCAACGCAAATTGTACAGTTATTGTCTCTTGTATAGAGAGCGTAGTTCTTTAGTCATTCATAAGAATATTTTAGTTTCGGTATATAAAAGTATTAATAAAATTTATACACATATATATATAAATGTATGTATATATGTATATGTTCTCCTCTAGCACACAAATGCAAATACATACAAACGACTAAAACAAAATTAAAAAATATAGATAAATATGTCATATGTATACATGAGGGAAAAAATAAAGACAGAGATAGATAAATAGATAGATAGATAGAGAGAGAGAGAGTGAGAGAGAGAGTGAGAGAGAGAGAGAGAGAGAGAGAGAGAGAGAGAGAGAGAGAGAGAGATGCAAATAATGATCTTTTTCTTTTATTAATTTGTACCGGTTCATCATCAGCTGTGGGACTATGCATTTGGTCGTCATCATCTTCTCCACGCTTTTTCCGCTAATTTTCAATTGATAAAACATAAAATTTTTGGTTTTCTTTTTTATAAAATTTAGTTAAGTGATTGTGAGAAAAATGGCACATGTGTGATATATAATTTAAATAAAGAGCTTAAGAAAAAAAAAAAATAAATAAACAAATTTAGTTAATAATTTTGTATATAAGTTTCTATATACGTAAACAGATACATAAATATATATTAACGATGCTTATAGTATATTTAAATTATATATATGTAAGTATATATATATATATATATATATGTATATACAGAAAGCACTTAACTCTCTAAACTCATTATATCGTAACTAACGTTTTACTCGTAATTGAAAAAAATTTATATAAAATAATAATAAACATAATAATAATTAAATACTTCAACTTCGATTAGAGCATGCTTCGATTAAGAAAAGTTCTCATAGTTTAATATACGTTTTTTCTTTTTTTCATTTTGCTATGGTCTTAATTCACACAACGTTTAACAAAGTTAACCTAACTATGCTAAAATTGAAAACGAAAACGATTTCTAATACGATTTTATTAATCAATAATATTTAGAAAATTGAAAGAAACTCTTTTTTATAATAAAAACACATTAGAGGTTTTTATAAAACTGCGGGATATTTTTATGTACCTCCTTCCAATTCTGCATTAGTCATTTTATTTATTTAAGATTTTTTTTTGTTTTTTTTTTTTTTTTTGGTGATATTTAGTGAAATTTATACACAAACAAGTGAAGAGAAATTAATAATAGTGATATAAATTATTTTTTAGGAAGTTTTATTACACTTTTATATATTTATAAGGACAAAATGAATTGATTAAAGAAAATCTACCGATATGATAATAAATTATGAACAAAACAATTGCAATCATATTCCCAAGTAAGTAAATTCTTCTTTTTGATTGTACTTAATGTGCTACTTATGGAGTATGATTGGTTATGTGCAGTGCAGAGTGTCGCATTCGCTCCTCAGATCATATATCAGTTATGTATCACACCTTAATACATATCAAAGGACTTTCTTATGTTAATCTTTTTTTTTTTCGTACTGCGCAACTGTACTTCAAATAGGTTTGCTCAATTAACTCGGGATTTTTTTCGCTTATCATATTCGCGTATTGAACAAATGAACAAATTAAATTTTTATTCCGTGCAGCACATTATGCTTGTAACATCCAGTACTAGATATATGTGTCAAGCAGTTTGCCTGAGCTCAAGACTCGAAGTCCCTTGGGAGAAGTGCGAAGCATGCATAGATAATGGAAAGTTTTTTAGTGCAGCCGCCTATCGTCTTTTTCTATCATTGGAGAATATATATTCAGCGCAAGTGCATTGGCACTCGCTTCGACACTATAGGACACTCGATTAAATTTCTTGAGAAAAAACTCTCATTGGTAAAAGATTAAAATAGAATAGAAGATTTTGGTAGCATGCGAGAATGTTTTCATTTTTGCGTCGTTCGTTCTCATAAAGCAAAGATCTTTACGTAGAGCTCTCTTTCCATATTCGGGCAATTGACAGAGTTGTAAGTCTTCGACGGTGATTCGATTTTTGCAGATGAAAATCAGCAAAAAAGGGAAAGGTGTGCTCCATAAAGGGAAATCGTGCGCAATACTCTATTAATTCTTCGTTTTATTATCCACCAAAGCATTGATCATCTCTTTTATTTTGAATCAATGTAGAAAATCGGAATAGATTTAACTTATTAATATTAACATCAAGAATCATATATCGTTCGATTGTTAATTTTAAGCAATATTACTATCTTACTTCGCTTAGTTTAAAGTTAAGTGTTCGCTTCGGCTCTATAAGTGCCATAAATGGCCATCAGCGATGATCAAAAATAATTAAGCAACAGTAGCAGTAAAGGCTTGATATTAGGTGCTTTAGAAAATATTGACCGTAATAAGGCTGGCTAGCATATCAACTGCAGTCTAATACGCTTGATATACGGTTGTATGCACATTAAGTGTAGAATCAAAAATTTATAAAAAAAAATTGCAATTGCTTTGCAAACAACTGAAGAAAACTGGTGCATTCTGCTCATTTCGTTTATGAAACTATGTTTGGAAACTCTTTCATATCTGTTAAGTGTGTGTAATCAATTCTAATATCTCAGTTAGATTTATAAAGTACAGTGCTGTCCAAATAAATTTTCAACTAATCGATTATATATTATTGTTCCCTAAAAAAAAAAAAAAAAAAAAAAAAAAAAAAACAAACAAAACAAAAATATATAAACATATTTCTCTACATATTAATCTGATATCTTATCCTTTCGTATATAGATAAACTGAAAATGTATAAATCTCTTTATTTTTATAATAATTTGTTTCCTTTTTTTTTTCGTTTTTTGTCTCTCTCTCTTCATTTTATTGTACCTAAATATTTGAAATTTATATGTCAAACAAATATTTAGTTTTAAAATCTTTAATAACATGTATGTATACCAGAGAAGAAGACACTTATGAACTAATAAGTGTAGTTTTATTTATGAAACAGTTACGAAATTTATTTAAAAATACTTACCGGCATGCCTGAATCAATTTGACCGAAACGTGTATTGCGCCAGGATTCAAATATCAGAAAACCGGCATAAATTTTACCCACTGTCAGTTTGCCTTTATTTAGTTGGTCGTTGGGTGGCACCAGTAGATCTAGCATTTTCTTAGCTTGCAAAGGCCATATATTGGTTATTGTTTCCCTAAGTTCAGAGTCGGCTTGATCCATTTCCTCCGCTTAAGAATTTAATAGAAAATAAAAACCAAAAAATAGATAATTTATTTATGTTTACATATATAAGCATATATAGATTTACTTACCCGATCTCATTTTAATGCTTAAATTTTCACGTATCAATGCGAACAGTGTGGTGGTAAATTGTACACGCATTTCATCATCCAGCGGCATATTCATACGTATCAGTTTTTTGTAGGCGAGGCGATTGGGACATTTGTTACCGAACCCCAATGGAGGATCCATATTTTTCAACATATCATACATTTCCGTGTAATGAATTTTACCACTACACCCACACATATACACATAATGATTTTGAAGATTTTTACCGATTGATTATAAAATATAGAAATTTGAGACTTTTTTAAATGAAATTTTTATCAAATTGTTTTTATATAAATATATATATAAAAAAAAAAAAAATACTCTTTTTTTTTTTTTTTTTTTTTTATTATGATAGAAACAACAACACACATTCATATTATTCATATTCTTATAAAACAATATATTAATAATTTACTCTGTCCTCTGAGTTATACACCGATCAAAAAATACTGGGAATAAGTCATTGCGTTGAATAGAATAAGCGGTAAAATTTATTTAATAAACTAATCTTACTTAACATCGGGTGCCTCATGTCAATGCTATACGACAATTGTATATTGCGTTTGCAACGAGTACTTATGTAATCCGATCTTAGCATCGATTCCGATTTTCTCATCTCTAAATATAATAAAGTACATAAAAATGTTACCAATTCTTTATAAAACAACCATCGATCTATTTTTACTTAATGTGGAATGATATATGAAAGATAACTTTTTCGCACAATTTTTATTCCTTTTCACGCGACTAACTTAATATCTAACTAACGTAGGAAACTAAAATTTAACACAAGAATCTTTAGAGTTGCACTCTTTTTTCAAATACATATATCTATGTGCAGCCAATTCTGCTAAGATGATAAAACCAGTGATATCCATTGCCATAGAAAAACTTTATGCCTTAAGCTTTATGTGTGCTTTTCATTAGCGTTACTGAAAAAGACAATTTTGGGCTGTTATCTATATTTGCCACATTTTTACAACACAAACGATAGCATCTTTTTATGGTGAAGCTCGACTGTATTCTGGTGGAATATATGCTAACTTTTGTAGTAAACATAACAAGTGCATAAGAGAAACAGAACAGTCCGACCGAGTATGAAAAATGGATTTCACTGATCCGAATTCTCCGACTATGCGCTGCCAAGAAGGCTGTGTGAGATTAATTTGTTGCATTCTTTGATGTTGAACGACGTTGTCACGAATAGTTGGCGATAGGCTTTTAGCCCCTAAGTATCGCAGCCTTCAAATCTTTTTACAATTTTTCACTTCAGATATTTAACTCGACCTTTTTCCGATTTTGAGTAATTCCCAGTATCTTGTGATTGAAGTGTACGTAGAGTAGATTATGTATGGTGAAGGGAATAAAATATTGTAATAATTTAAAGACAACGAGAGAGAGAAAGAGAGAGAGAGAGAGAGAGAGAAATAAATAGTGATGGAAAGAAGTGTTTGTGTTGACAAATAGAAAAGCCAGAGATTCGCAAAAGTTTTAAAATATGACATTTTCAAACGCTTTGTCAAGCGCACTAAGTAGACATTGAAGATCATCAGCATTACATTGCATGTAAGTCGATTTGACGAAGGCGATTTATTTGTCTGTTCGTTGTTGAAACTCGAAAAATTAAAATAGTTTTCTATCTCATTTAAACATTGGACACGACCAAAATTTGCTCATCTTAGACAAATACTCCTTTTCTTTTCAAAAACATATGTACAAAGTAAGATCTTGGCATAGAAGCAAAATGAAAGGAAAAACCATTGTTCAATATGTCCTGAAGTATTTTACTCTTCGAAATATAGCGAATTTTCATAGTAATAGAAAGGAATAAAGCTTCGTTTGATAAAGCTTTAGCAGCAAAGCATAAAAAATTAAGTATTTTTAAACTCATAACCGATTGTTCTCTCTGTGGATTGCTGCTTTGAAAATTTTTGTTTTTTTTTTGTTTTTTATATGAAACAAATACGATCAAATAATAATCATTTAATATAAAAATTTTTAAGCGGTTTTTTTTTTTTTTTTTTTTGTTTTGCTACTTTTTTGTTAAATTCTGAAGCAGTGTTTGTGTGTTAAATTATTTTTCAAATATTTAGGAAAAAAAGCTTAATGATTAGAGTTACATAAAATTTATCAATAACTCAACATAAAACAGAAATTTAAAAATCAGAAATATTAAAGAAAAACTAATAATAAGTGATTAAGTTCATCATAAGACCAATTTTCAATAACCCCTTCACTTCTGTTACTTTTACATCCATAAAATGAATGACTAACCGATAAAGCCGAAGACAATCCATCGATTTCTCGAATCTTAAGTCAGAACGCGCGCCTATGCAAAGTTCAATACTAAGCGCGTTTTTAATCTACATTCTATAAAAAAATCTATATTTATATATTCTTGGATGTAATTCCCGCATATTGATATGTATGCATCGATCATAAATTAATAAAACTGCAGGCAAATCTGAGCTGCATTGAATATACGCTTGCTTCCTGATTTTAGTGACAATTTGCGACTCTTGTTCGCAACTTATAAATGAATGGTAAATTCATTTTACAACACAAGCTTTCATTTGTGCATTGATTTGCGAAAGAAGAAAGGGTTAAAAGCAGTTATACAGCTAGCATCGATTAGGAGTAAAGGTGCAGTAATGTATATATAATCTGAACTTATATATATAATCCAGAGCATTTTCCGCATTTAGAAGGCCTACTTCCAGACAAAGAAGTGAAAATTGTAATAAATATAATAACAATGGAGGTTGCGAGAATTTAGTAGATGATATATTACTACAGTTCTCGCTTCTCAGTAAATGTAAAAATTGCAAGCGATAAAAAAGTAACTAAATTATCAAGCGACAATAATATGAATTGATAAGATGCATAAACTAAAATTTGTTCTGAGTGAAATACTCTTCCATTGTAAATATCTTGAATAAAAATGGATGTGGTAAGAAGATTATCTCATCGAAGATTTATAAATTGCATAACATCATCATCGATGGTTGCGAAACGAAATTCGTTTCCCTAAATTCGAAACATCAATGATTAACGTATTAATTACGTGGATATAAATTAAAAATGTCAAAAGCGGATAAACAGACGACACCATAATTAATAATTTGGCATATTTGTAAGATAGAGGTTATCAAAAATTTCTTTTAAAGATCAGTACATAATAAATTGAATTAAAACACCAATTGTTAATATGCAACTTATAAACAACAAGACAAATATATATATACAGACTATATTTTACACACGTACACAAATTACCAATAATTAGCAAATTAAAAATGAAAAAAGGAAGAAATATTAATTGGAAAAAAAATTATGATATTATATTAAATTGATAATTACGTCGCATTTGGATCATATTCAGCCCATATCCGTACAAATTCATCTAAATGATGGGCACCCAATATACTGGAATCTCTTGTTAGATAATCAAAATTATCCATAATAACGGCCACGAATAAATTCAACATTAGAAACGAACAAAAGAATATAAATGAAACGAAATAGGCGTATGCCAGCGTTGAGCCACATGTCTCATCACCCTTTTCAGCCTCTTCATCACATGGCCTCCCTTTAAGGCACGCCAGCATAATGTTCGGCCACGCCTCGCCCGTTGCACATCTAAAACGATATTGTATGAGTATATCTCATATATGATTTTTCTTATATAGTTCTATATATATATATGTGTATATATATATTTCTATATATACATATATATATTAATATATATATATAAATATATATATATATATATATATATATATTCTAATATATTAATATAACAAAATTAGCCAGATGTCGACAATAAACGAAACAATTTTTACAGTTCATAAATAGTTGGATGTCATATACGTACATGTAAATACAAGTGTTATATATGTATGTAAAAAGATTATTTATTTATTTAGTTTTATATATATAAATGTTTTTTGTGTTTCTAGGCAAATATAATAAAGTTCTTAAAAATCACATTACAAAATACTACTAAATGAACATTTCTCCATACGTACAGATATAGTTGAGATTTATTTGTAAATTGAATTAATTATTAAAACTGATCAAAATAAGATACAACAACAGCTTTGCTACCTTCGAAACAAAACACAATACGTTGAAATTATTTACATTTATTTTTTTTTATATTCATGTAATTGCTTTCCAATTTATTTATTTATTTGTTTTTTTTTTTTTTTTTTTTTTTTTTTTTT